CACAAAACAGTTATCTTGCTACTGTTAAAACAAGCAATAAAATAAGACAAAAATAAAACAAACCCAAGGGACACTCCAGACACAATCCAAATCCATTAACTGAATAGAATCTTTGAAACTTCACCAAGTAGAAGATTAAAATCAAGTTAAATTCCAAATTAAACAATGCTACACAGAATTACACCTAGACAAATTAAGAAATTTCAATAAAGAAACAGCTCCGCAGGGCTCGGTTTATCTGTAAGTCAATTCCCAGGAACTTTAAAACTAACCCATAAAAATAGAATTAGCCAAAACACTCGGATTGGTACTATATTTACAACAAATAATACTAGTACACTGAACTAATGTGCATAGTTGCGAACGAGTGCAAGGGGCTTTTGGTGCCATACAAGACGTGTACTAGTCAGGGAGTAATAAAATACTGTCAGAGACCAGGTCGAGACAAAGGAGTGTCTCCGTGATGGAGGGCTTCAGCCTCAGCAACTTATGCCAGGAGCGCTGTGCCTAGTAAACACGTCCGTGCCCTAACTTACTAACTGGCCACCAGAACTGAAGAGGGTAAACTCTAGTCGATTTTATTACTGGAGTGTAACCTATGTACAAGTTAAGTATATATAGTTACAGCGAGGGCGGGTCCGCAAATGGCAGAGCCGAGCCGAGCGGAGCTAACGGGGTTTAGACATTAGCCGATTGAATATTGCCGACGAGTCGGGTTATGGGGTTAGCGGAAAGGCAGGCAATAACCCAGAAACGGAAAGGAGGGATAGGCCCGAAGGTGGGCTTTGCAGGGCAAGTGAGTGTATTGTCCAGCAGAGGCAGGAGTGCGCTAGCGGACATCGGAGCTGTCCGGAAACCTTCGGGGCTCCGTACTTAGGGAGGCATAGGTAATAAATTGAAAGGAGGGGGTGGTGACCATCGAGGGGTACCGAGGGGATTGCGGAATACAGGAGCTCCGAGGTTAGTGAGGAAGGAGCAGAAGTAGACTGGAGGAATCAGAGGGATCGGAAGTCGATGGCTGGGGATGGATATGACAGGGTTAGCAAGCCATAAGCTTGCTGTGATACAGTCACATGCAGAAATTCATAGTCTCAAAGCAAGGGTAAAATGTTAGGGGATGTAACTCCCTCTACTGCACCTTTGGGGTTTAGTGATATATAGAAAAGGTCATTGTGTAACATTAAAGAAGAGTACAAACCAGACAATTTTTTTTTCATGCTGGATATGGAGATATGAGTATGAAAATCCAGGTTTTGGCATATTCCAGGCCAAAAATAGAAAAACTACCTGGAATGCGCTCATGAGAGCCTCATTTTAAGATAATTTTCATATTGCCAGAAGAGTGTTTTTGTGTTGAAAATTTTCATTTCGCCCCCATCATTGGCACCTCATATTTCAATTCATTGGAAGTTCCCACACAAAACAACAAGAAAAAACACTGAAATCGGAGGAAGGAGGCTGAAAGGGCAGAGAAAGCCAGATGCAAGGAAGATTTTCTAGGTGTGGTGGTTCTATGGAATGATTTGGAGTGGGAAAAATGGGGTATGTCGCAGGAAAGAAGGTAACTGGCAAGATATTGGATGAGCAACTAGATGCTTGTAGGTGGCTTCATAAACAAATCCCCCCAAAGATCCGAATGACCAGGGAAGTGGAGAATGTGCAATCGATATGCCTGGTCCGGTCAGAGAAAACAATGCTGATAGAGCATATGAAATCGGTGATTCCAACAGCCAGAACCTATGAGATATTGACGATTAGAGACTATCTACATGTTTTCTGATAGTGAAAAGTGTTGTTGAGATGATGGATCGGGAGAAAGACTTTTTGCCACTTTCTGCACGCAAATTAGATCACGTGGTACCACAAAGTTAATGCGACGTTGCCGGTAACCCCCATTGTGTGGCTCTCACGATCATGGAGTCTCGTGATCAGCTCAATGGTCATTTAGCGGCGCAGCTATCGGGAGGGCACCTTCACACTTTTTGAAAGGATAATGCAACGAAGACGGAGCGTCTCGAAGAGTTATGTCCCAGGCTTCTTACCTTCACGAAACCAAGCGAAACCTATTAGCTCGATCGATGACATATCAGAGTTAACGGAGACGTTGCACAAGACGGAGGCTCTGTTAGCTACGTAAGTAACCTGGTTGCTTAAATGTTGAATGCTCCTGAGTCCGTAGCGGTCCGTTAGGTGTTCTTCCGCTCTTCGACCAAAGCTTGAGTCACGTCGAGCCGAGTGCGAAGCGCGGTTGCGCCATCTGACGAGTATGCGCACTGTCGAAACAAATCTCAGGAACACCCACATTGATCCTTATGCCAGGGTGCCCACGCCACCGTGCGAAGACGCCACCATGGCGGACGGACAAGGGGAAGGCCCATCAACATCACGAGATCCAGTATCTACGAAGTTGCGGATATTAAATTCGCCCGTTGTTATGGTACGTTAAATGAAGGCACAGTGTCTTTATATGAGGATAGGTTGCTGATGGCGGGTATGAATAGCGTGGGCAGACTCACAAGTCTTCTACACACAGCACCGCGACGCTCGATCATCGCGAAGCTATCAGACTTCAGCAAGCAGAATCAGAGAAAGCTATGGCTCGTCAAAAGCGGACTGGACAGTCTCGGAATGCATGGGAAGAGAAAATTTTACCTCGTGCATCACGATGGGACGCACTTTCCTCTAGCGAGCGAGACCGTGCGATCCTCGCATTCATGTGAGATCGTCTGCTCTGCTCATCTGTTTTATGCTCATTTGAACCCTCCAGGCAAGCTGGCCCGTCAGAGTCTGATGAAGAATATGGCGGAGACGAAGACGAACTAGATGATGTGCTAATGGAGACCTTGCTGAACGCCGAGTTTGAAGATGGCACGAAAGGCCAGAATATACTGGAGCCGGATGATTTGTCCAACATTATACGAGTCCAAGTCCCTTCTGATATCAACATGGATGATTGTTAGTGTTGCCGTATTGATTCTGATAATTATACCTTACATATTTGGTTATACGTTTGTATGTACTTGTGTTGACCGACACCGATTGCAATTGAAATTTAGCGAAATGGACGAGCTTCACTGCAATCGTTTAGCCTGTAGAAAGCTGCTTACCGAAAAGGTGCGCCGGCCAGCCTGTATCCATGGCTTAAGTACCTCATGTCATGCCGCAGGCTGTTGTTACCACCTGCTCACGTAGGGCCGCGCCGACATTATATTTCTTCTTCAGGGTCAGTGTTGATGCGCTGAACATATATAGATATCTTCTGCATAGAGTGTGCGAATGGGATTTTCTCTACACCTACTCTCGTCTGTGCAGCGTGTGAGACCACCTTGGATCAACCTGACGATGTTGTAGTGCGTCATCTGCGAAAGCGAGGACTTTTGCGCAGGATTTGACGCGTCCTACGCGTAGATATGCTCTCTTCATCCTACTAATGACTACAAAACTGTGTGCTTGTTCTCTCCGCACTCGAATCATTCTAATACGTGCACTAGTCAATTCTGTCTGGTCTGAGCCCAACAATCATTCTGGAAATATGCTCTCGGTCGGTATCTGTGTTTGCGACTGCGGCTCTTCGTCTCTTTCGAAACTTTTATCTAGGGCCATGTCATTCTGGCAGTATCAGATACATCAAGAGAGGTCCCCTAAATATGGACATCCTTGAGCAGTGTGTGACACATCTTCTTAGCTCGTTCCAGCAAGTCGTATTGCGGAACGCCAACGAACGGAATGCCCAGATGCAAAAGCAGTTAGAGAATGTAGTTCGAGAAGGTGCCGTAATCAGTCGCGTGCTTTGTCGCGTGTATCTGAACAGACTTGCTCCCCTTCGGTCAGCGAACTCCGAATTAAGTCTACTCAATACGAAAGTTGCGGGTACGTGGCAACGTGTTCCTTATTTTGTTCACATGCATGCCGATCACCGTGTACTGTCCAGCACTTGAACGCGACTTGGAGGTCGAAAGACGGAAGAACCGTGACTTAATGGATGCTGCGAAAGATAAGGACGCTGAATATCAAAAACTCAAAGGCCAGCTTGACAAGATGAAACGGAAAGCGCTTCTCGGCTCGACGTCACTCTCTGCAGCTGCCCAGAATGCGGATGCCAGCGAGAAGCAGGTGTATCAGTCCAACCATGCCGGAGTCATGCTTCCATCGACGACAGCGGCCGCGGATGGGACAGGCCTTCACGGAACTATGAATACTAACTCATCCAGGCTCCGTGCAGGTTTGCATCAGCTTGGAGTATCGGGTATGCATGCTGGAGCCTCCAATCAAGGCAATATGGGCGAAGTCGTCAACGGTATGGATGCTAACAAGGCACGAGTTGATGTCAATCAATCATCTTTCCGAAATACCGGTACCGCTTCCATCTTATGATGACTTTCATAGATCCAGCGAACGCCTATTCGCCAGCCTCCAGGTGCTCTTGGCTCATGGCATGCAAACCAGCAAAATCCCGCTTCGCTTCTTTCCCTAAACCGTCCTCGTCATTTCAATCCAGGAGGCACAAATGATTTGCACCGCCGAAGTGTCTTGCATGGCAATGGTCACGCAATTCCTGCCAACTACCCTCCAGCCCCACCACAGCAACAGCCCATATTGGATCAGCCAATATCACGAGAGCAGCATGCGTCGAAAAGACAATTCGGTGCACCTTCGGACTCTGGTTCAGATTCGGATTCTCGTTTGACTGCGAAGCATACACGACCACCGATCCACTTCCAACAGGGTCAGCAGCAGCAGCAACAACAACAACATTTCCCTCCACCACCGCACCAGCAAGGTCCATCGTACAGATCGGGGATTGAGGGATTTGCTATGCCAGCAGCCCCCAATACCAAAAGAGGTCAGCGATATATGCATCCTTCACACAGCTCGTACGCCATAATGGGGGGCTTCATTACCTTTAGGCGTTTTTGCACAACCCCCCAATCGCGCGGGTACGGGATTCAGACCAGCCTCTTACGCTCATTAGAATAGGATAATATGCACCAACTCTAGGAGGCCTCGGGATTAGGGACGTATGAACGCCAATCACATTGTTAGCAGATGGCACTGTTGTACAAAGTTACCCGATTATCCTCCCAATGTATATCATACTTTGACGACGTAATAAATCATTGATACAAGATGAAGCTTGCGGAAGAAACCGGTGGTACATGAGCATGGTTGATATGAGAACGAAGTTGGGGTTCAAACAGTGAAGGCAGTAATGACACTAATATCGTAGCCCGCTTCCCCCTTGATGAACATTCTTGAGCCGTGCGCCGACGAACGATGATCCTGGCATTGAGCCATTCATGTTCCCGAATAACAATGGCATCGATGTCACGGGCACGCTCGATCTCCTCGGAATTGCGCGTGGTCCACCAGGGAGAGTTGGCACCTTCTCTAGAACAATGGACCTCGGCGGTGGGGCAAATGAGCCCTTCGGGGGATGGGCTAGTGGACGGTAACTGGGTTGTGAGGGCTGAGGTCGCTCTCGTTTTACGCTAGCCCTCCTTCCGATTGCAGCAAAGAAGCCCTTCCCTCCATTCCGCTGACCAGTTGAATGGGCTTTCGCCGAAACGAGAGATGGGTAAGGAAGATTAGGGGGGAAAACCGCAGGCCCAGATTCCTCGGAGCGATGGAGTAGATTAGTGGCGGAATAAGCGTCTGCACGTATAGGAAAAGTCATTTCAGTCCTAGTAGAAGTACGGGACATGTGGGACATTCGACGACGAAGTTTTGCACCACCTGGGCGAGCAAACGATGATAATGGGCCAAGTGTATCGCTTTCATTGTCTTCAGCAGGGCGAGATCGGCCCACTGCAAATAAACTATGAGTTAGACTCAAGTCTAATCAGTGGAGTAAGCGTCTCTACCTTTTTTCTTCTGATTGAGACCAAGAATCCAGGCCTCAAGCCCACAATCCTCAGCCGCAAGCTCATTAATTTTTTCAGCGTACCCAGCCGCACGATCCAATGCGGTGCGCATCTTCAGAACGTTCTGGAACTCCATTGCCTGTGGCCAGCCTACCACCTTCCTTATCAGTCGCTTGGACTTCTCCGGTGGGGGAGAGGGTAATGGCTGCATGGAGAGTGGTTTAGGTGAAGAGCTTTCGTTCGAGTGAAGGCTGGCGCGCTGAAGCGGAAAAGCCATGGAGAACGAGGAAGCGCGTTTCTTAAGTGCTGAGAAACGATTAGATTTTGCTGAACGTCCACTAGAATGGTCCTGATCGGAACCTCCGGTAGGTGGAGGTGTGTGGACGCTGGTCATGGATAGTGTATTCGTCCGATCCTTGCACGCTTCACGGGAAGAGGTCCTAGAGATACTCGTTGCATCCGTGATTTGCGCATGAACGTAAGAGCTGGTATCAAGGCTACTGGAGCTATCCCATTGACGAAGTTCAACAGTGGGTTCGCTGGAATCGGGAGGGTTATCGTTTTCGTACCAAGAGGCTTGCGCAGCATATGAGGGCGCCACACTGTTTAATCCCATGTCATCCATGGCATCATCCACCACAGCAACCAGGTCATCAATGGTATCTCCCCGGGTTGGAGAGAGCGGAGCGATAGGTATGGCGGGTAATTCTTTTGGTGGAGGGGAAGGAGGATTAGAGGATATGACGCTGGAAGGTTCACGGAAGTGGTTATGTGAGGGTGGTGAGGACGATAACGAGGAAATCTTCTCCGGAGATGAAAACATAATGGGATCATCGCCCGGAGGACTTAGAAACAATAGTCAGCAGGGAGTGTCGTTTAAGCAAGCAAATAAAACAAACGTTTTTGGACCTTCAATCTGTTGGCTCACGAAATCATCATCGTATGCACTATCCGATACTCGCCGCGTTGGATGCGAACTATTGCTGTAAATAGAATCGCTCATACCGCTGAGCCGTGTTGTCTGGGAACGAACGGATGACGAAGTTACCACAGAACCTTGTGATAAAGATCGATTGACCGTAGGTGGCGTAGGAAGAGGTCGAGATCTCACACTAGATTTGCCGCTATCGTATGAGGTACGCTGTCTTGTGTGGCGAACTTGGATTTGAGTGGCTTGTGGAGACTCGAGCTCTATAGGAGACTGGGGGATAGCCTCAGACACGATAGACTGCATCTCACTAGGCGCCGCCGGAGACAGTTGGACACCATGGATTGATGGGTAATTTTGGGCAAGATCGGGATAGTTGTTTTTCCTAGGAGGGGAGGACATACGGGGAGGACGGGGAGGTGGAGAGATTGGTGTAATAGGATGATTCATTGTGGTAGTCAGGGGAGTAGAAAATGGTCGAGTTTCTTGTTGGTAGTGTGCCGGTGGTCCAGTTATTTGGGCAGGCGATGAAGGGACCAGGGGGCCTGTCAACATCATGGTCTCAGGGGACGTCGAAGCGGATGATATCGACACTGGTGTGTTCGCCGCCGGCGATGACATTATTGGGACACCTGCTGCTTGCACTGATGTGGAAGTGGTGGGCGCTGGCGCAGAGGACAGCAATGATCCTGGAGCAGGGGACCGGCGGGGTGGCTGAAGAGCTTTTGGAAGGGAAGGTGGTGGTCCAGCAGCACCGTGAAGAGCTGAATCGAAAAACATGTACGGCATGTCCGGAGAGAACGTAGGGATAGGAGACGCCCGTGACACTTGGGTGTGTGTTGTTGCACTAACTGGAGGTGCACCGCCATAAGTTATCTGGAAAGGCTGCGGTTGAAGGTTGGTTGCTGGCCAAGCCATCTGCAAGGTATGGATCACCGGGCTGGCGATTTCCGTGTCTGCGTCCTTGCTTTGGACTACTGTGTCGGTGGAAGGTGAAGTTGTGACCCACTCCAACCCTGATTGTAATGATGGGGACTCCGAGAGTTGAGGGTGCGGAAGGTCCGCGGTCTGAACAAGCGACTCTATGACCGGAGGCTCAAAAGACGAAGCTTCGTCGACGTCAGCACTATAAAGAGTCTCGCGGGAATCCGACTCCGGCCTCGTGCTCGCATGTGTCATCTCGTGCTGTGCTGTAACGCGCGGTCGGCTCGCTTCAAGCGCAAATTGCGGCTTCTGCTCCGCATCTCCTCTGCCTTCATAAGCAGGCTGAAGTTCAGGAGTGGAGAAAGATATTGGCTCATGGCTTCTTGCGCGTCGATGGGCGAGATAGGGGCGAGTGGGAATATCATCATGAGTGCCACTTCGATGGGCCGGATATGGGGTCAAATTCGTATAGGATGAAGGTGCTACATCTGGCGGTGCCACGAGCGCTACACGAGGCTGATGCATACCTGGATTCACAACACGTGGATTGCTTGAGCGTCTGTTTCTGCGAATACCTGATTGATGAAGTTTGAGCATCATACCTCGCCTTGAAGATAATGAGTTGTTTCTGTTGAGTGACCGTATCTGATTCTGACCCGACATGATATTGTCCAGCGATGAAGTGTGTTCAGAAGGCGGTGCAGAGTTCAATTCCATAATTGCGAGTCTGCGGTTATCTGCGTTTCGAGCTGCGCGAGCGCTGGGCCGACGTTTAATAGCACCGCCAGGGGCATTTGAAACTGACTGCGAAACCAGGACAGATATTTCCGCATTGGCATCGCCGCGAACGGTCACCATAGATGATCGTCTCTTTCTGTCAGCCTTGTCCCCGTCGTTGCCGTTGTTGTTCCGTGCTGGTGAAGGGGACCTTGACCTTTCTCCGCGGGAATACTGGCTATCCGATGAAGACGACCTGATGTCATCTGAGGACGAGGATGAGGAAGAGTAGAGTGCGCCAAACCCAGATGCAGCCGCCTTAGAATGGTAGTACTCTAGCATTGATAACGTGTCAGCGTCAGGTCGATCATCCATACTTAGGCGCGTCTGTGCACCACGTCGCCGAGAAATTGCTGCGTCAAGCGCCGTCGTCAGGAGTCTGATGACAGCTGGCTGGCAATTCATATGCTAATCAAGTCACGCACCAACATGGTTCCCAGGCTTTCGATGCACTGATGGCTGACCGACTCTGCGGTTGCTCTGAGTAGCTTGAAGCTCAGCCTGCATGATATCTGGATAGGATTTGGGAGCAGAAGGCAGCCGTGCCTGCAACGAGGCAACAGCGGAACCTCCCCACTGGCAATGCTCCGAATTGATACTGTTTACGAATGTTGTCCTGAACTCCATGGCTTACGTAATTCCAGCTCGACAGAATGATGTGGACTCCAGCACTTTGGACAACCTCCATGAGATGTAGCCCTTTGCCGGACTATAAGGATTTCAAAGAAACTTGGAGGCATCCCCTCCCATCAACAAGTCTAAGTTCGAGCGCATCCCTCGACTCAATGCGTTCGTTCAGTATGCGGAGATTCCACAAACGCGCCGTTCTGATATTGAAGGGCGCTCAGCGACTTCCGGTAGCCCCATTCCCCTTTCAACGCCTGACAGACTTGCAGAGATTCCGTATCTTGGGGTTAGGATGTGTGGCTGTTGTTGTTTTTAAGGAAGAATCTGATACGAACACGATAACCAATCGCAAGTTGTCTGCTGTTGGGTGCTCGGCTGCCGTTTAAATTTTGAATCTGTCCCCTTTGACAACGCACACCCCGAGAGAGCATCCGGACCCCCGTCCGCCATCCTGTCTTCTGGCAGCCGCTCTGCCTCCATCCGGTGGCGATACCACTCAAGATTTGCTCAACAGTGATGTTGACGGTGGCAATGCCCAGCTCCCGCTTCCGCATACCACACCTCCTCAATGAAGAATGATGCCCTCGAAGCAGGAGCGATGTGCATCTATCATTTATTATTCATTACAGGGAGATCCTCATCTCCAAATCTCAAGTTCAGGGCAGTTGTATCTGATCTCATATATCTTAGTACCTCATCGCTTCACTGGTTTATTCATCGTGTGGGACACCTCAGAGTGAAAACCGCAGATTCATGTTACTTCTTGCCCAACCGCGATCCACATAATGCCACATGGGACACCTGGTGCATCAGGTGAAGAAACTCAGTACGGGATTTCATCCCGTCAGTGTAGAAAAAAATAGGAAAACCCCATCAGATCTCGCCGCTAGACACAGTTTTTCTATCAGCCAGCTGGTGCTCTGTACCACTCAATTACAGTCATGACAATGAATAACTGGTAGATTATGTGACAGGCGCCACTTTAGGAGCACAGCATCAAATTCGACGTATCTGAGCATGACCGAACACATCCCCTGGACTGCAGGCCTCCAGGTGTTCAATTTGGTCTAGGAAAGTGAAGGATTATCCTCGCTATTCACATTCTGCGAAGTGGTTTCATGCCGTCGTGACTCAATCGTTTCTTTCATCCGCGTCGCCCATGAGCCAACCGTCCTCGTCCGCATCTACATTTGCACTGATGCCACCCGCATACATAGGGACACCCATGCGTTCCATAGTTCCCGAAGCTAAACTGAACGATTGGGTAACCTCCATGAGGTTCTCAAGCTCATTATCCGCTGCGTTCAAGCCCTCGGATGGCCCGAACGAATCCCCCAGGCTCATGGTCAGGCCCTTCAGCGGAGAGGTTTCTTGCAATACAGTATCCGGTGCGGGTGTCATACTGGGCTCGCGAAAGAGAGGGGTGCGCCGTCTTGATGGTTGTGGGCCAGGGGTGGGTGATAAATGAATGAAGGGTGCCAGGTGGGCTTGGCGACTTGGCAGGAGCGATGAGGCGGGAGCATCTCGCACCCGCGATGGTTGCGTTCCGGGAGACTTAGAGGTGAAACCTGGCTTCGGAAGTGGTGGATAGGGCTGTACGATCAAGCAGAGTTTGTACTTTGATATTGTGAAGCCCGTGTACGACGTAGTCAGCTTAAGCTTCTTTTTGTCGGCTGCATCTTCGTTATCACTGTCATCGACATCAAATGGGCTTGGCAGAGGATTGGACAAAGAAGGGTAGTGTAGGATGTCATCGTGGTCACTATGTTCCATCTTTATTTCTGCCTCATATCCATCATCTTCACCGGGTTCTTGGAATGATTGGCGGGCATTGGAGGAGCCTAGTTCATCTCCCGGCTGGCCTCTTTGTTGCTCTGAATCGCTGAGTTCTTGATAGTTGGCGACCCTAGATTTAGTACGTCGTGACCGACGAGGTTGCAAAGGGGTAGGCACGAGGTGAACCTCAGTTTGCTCTCGGCTTTGTTGTTGATCAAGATCGTCAACTTCAAGACTCTGAGGACGGGCTCGCTTCTTCCCCTGAGTGCTGGATACCAACCCACTCTCCCTAGTAGGCTGGAATGCTCTAGGAGATACACTAGCAGTTACGGCAGGCTTCGCTGACACAAGTGGAGCAGCAGGGACAAACGACTGATGCTGCGAATCAAGACGTTTTGGTTTGCCAGGCTTTCCACAAAGGGGGGGTGAAATAAGCCACCTTGATTAAAATAGTGTGGTGATCCGCTTTCTCGAGGTAGTAGCCAAACTGATACGTTTCTGGAAGGCCCGGGCCCATAAAACATGAGAGCAATGCTCGCAGAGATTAACGTTTCGCCATACTCACTTCCACGAAATACATCAACCCCAGAAGTCTTCTTCATTGATGAAGGTCCAGGAGCGACCGCCGCGCGGTCTTCAGCCTCTATCTTTGGACCTATGCTTCAGCGTAGGGACGCTCGATCAGTTTTGTCTGGAGCATTGTCCTAGAGAGTCGGGCCATACAGGTACCGCATATCTTCTACCACTTGTTCGAGTGTGCTCTGAGTCATCCACTCCGTGTGTCCGTTCTGGTCGTCCAGATGCAGGAACACGGGAAGGATAGTTTGCGTATCAACACGTAAGTACAATAGGTTTCTAGAGCGGAAAGCAGGCATGCCAGCAATGTATAATGTGGATGACAGCTAGGCAGGTTACCAGCCTCTATTGGGATAGAGATGACAGCACCGTCAATAGTCATAACTTAGTGAAATACAATTCAATTCCCAACCGCTTAGCGCTTAGGCCCCGCCAGACACTACTATTCATTGGTATTCTCGCAATTGTTGGAAAGAATGCATTTAAGGCTTTCTCTATTAGTTACAGAGCTCTCTGCAGCGAGTCACACGTATGTTGACCCCTTTTGCAATATACTTGACAGCGATCATTTCCCTCCAGCACATGGCGCCCTCGGCTCAATCGGAAAATTTATGTTTTGGAGCTGAGCATTCTAGCCAGAATGAGCGTCTGCAACATCAGCGTCGAGCCTGGTGCTCGCGGTGGGATAATTGCACCAGGCGAGACCAGTCGCATCCAAGGGGGATGAATGGGGGGGCACGCTGTGGCACCACGATAGGGCAAGTTCGACACTAGAAGGATCTTTCCCACGAATACATGGGAACATTGCCCAAGGATACCGTTCCGCGGATTGCTAGAGCGGATCAGGTCATGGTCCCACGTTTCCGATGACCCGCTAATGCGGTTTGCTCCGAGCAACTTGAAGCTCACCTTCACATATGTGGATTGCGTGGCGGAAATAGACCAATGTGTCCACGATCACCACCAACCAAGCTACCGTGAGAGCCTTGGCACGCTCCGAAACGTCAGTGTTGCTGAAGCGAACAGAACCAATCAGGGGACATGTAATTGGAGCCGGGGCCCAACATTATTTTTACATTCGGGTCGCAGGTTCGGACAGGACATATCAGTTAATTGCACACCGGTATATTGAAATGACAGGCCATAACCTTGTGGCGGTAGACATGCAGGGGCTTTGTCGACACCAACTTGTTGTGTCAGGTGACCACTTCTGGGCCCTCCGATCGGCCGAAGCTTGACCAGTTTCCCCAAGCTATAACATCCCTGACATCGGGCCCTTTTTGTCCATTCTCCTCTTATCTTCTCCCTAGCCTCCTATCGAATAAGAACTCCAAATGCCAGCCCCAGCTCCAGCACCTCGCACACTGTACGATAAGGTTTGGGACGACCATGTCGTGTGAGTTGGACTAAGCATGTTGGACAATGTCGTTGTACTGAGGCACCGGGTCAGACACCAGCAAGAGAGTGGGGAGACGCTCATTTACATCGATCGGTGAGAAACAAACATTGTTAGCACTTAAATCGATCGACTTCCCCGCGCTCTAGTCACCTTGTACACGAAGTTACGAGTCCCCAAGCCTTCGAAGGCCTGTGGGTATATAACACATTTTCCAGTGGATTTCTCATTCAAGTTCGCTTTGAAGCCGAACCGCTGGGCGGCCAGTACGCAGGCCCGATTGTACATTAGCCACCGTCGATCACAATGTTCCGTAAGCCTTCACCCTCAAGCCTCCAGAGAACTGACGCCAATACTAGTTTTGACCTGTTAGAACTATCTCCCGCAAAAACTTTACTGACGTGAAAACTTTCATCGACGAGCCAGAGTCCCGCGCTCAGTGTGTTGCACTTGAGGAAAATGTCAAAGAGTTTGGCTTGACATATTTTGGGATGTCAGACAGAAGACAAGGTATGATCACCGCTTCTAGCAAGGCTCTGCATTTGTTCATCTGTGTCGGTATTTTGATTAGGTATTGTCCACATCATTGGTCCCGAGCAAGGATTCACAGTGAGTGGACCATCACTTATCCAAAATTCAGGTGCTCACACTTATATTGTCGTAGCTCCCTGGCACTACCTGTGTCTGTGGCGACTCACATACCTCAAGTATGTTGCTCCTATATCTGCCCAATACTCAAAGTGATCATTCCCCCTTCAGCACATGGGGCCTTCGGCTCGATTGCCTTCGGGATTGGCACTTCCGAAGTCGAGCACGTCCTTGCTACGCAAACTCTCTTGCAGAGGAAATCAAAGAACATGCGAATAAAGGTCAATGGAACCCTCCCTCCCGGTTGCGCTTCCAAAGATGTTATCTTGCACATTATCGGGAAAATTGGGACAGCTGGAGGCACCGGTTGCGTCATCGAGTACGCGGGGAATGTTTTCGAGGAGATGAGCATGGAAGCCCGAATGAGCGTTTGCAACATGAGTATCGAGGCTGGTGCTCGCGCCGGGATGGTTGCCCCCGACGAAGTTACGTTTAAGTACCTTAAGGGCCGTCCGCTCGCACCCAAGGGGGAAGAATGGGAACGCGCCGTGGCATATTGGCGCACGCTTAAATCGGACCAAGGCGCTAAGTTTGATATTGAAGTGAACATACGCGCGGAAGATATCGTTCCTACCATCACATGGGGGACCTCGCCTCAGGATGTCGTTCCGATCACTGGAGTTGTCCCGGACCCTGCCTCCTTTACTGATCCTATTAAGAGATCCGGCGCCGAACGGGCGCTGGCTTACATGGGCCTCATACCGCACACACCAATGCAAGATATTGACGTCGACACGATCTTCATTGGCTCATGCACTAACAGTCGCATCGAGGATTTGCGGAGTGCTGCTCAAGTCATCATCGCAGCCACTTCTGCTGATCCATCCATCAAAGTTCCAGGCAACGTTCACGCCATGATTGTTCCCGGTTCTGGCCTCATCAAACAACAGGCTGAGGCAGAGGGCCTGGATGCTGTCTTCAAGCGTGTTGGCTTTGACTGGAGAGAGGCTGGCTGTTCGATGTGCTTGGGTATGAATCCCGATCAACTTTCACCTGGCGAGCGCTGTGCCAGTACGAGCAACCGAAACTTTGAAGGAAGACAAGGGGCGGGAGGCCGCACTCATCTGATGAGCCCTGCGATGGCTGCCGCCGCTGCTCTCACCGGGAAGTTGACGGATGTGCGCATATTCTTGAAGAAGGGGTCAAATCTGGATCAAACGAAGCTCAAAGTGACAAGCGCGTTCGATTACCTCACGGATGAGGTGCTACCCCCACCTAAGCCTGTGCCCCTCTCGGATTCACCGTCAGCAGCAGCGTCGGCGGCTAGAGCGAACTCGACAGAAACTGATTCTGTATCAGTTGCCGCGACTTCGTCAGCCGTTCCCCCATTCACCATTGTCAAAGGTGTCTCTGCGCCACTGGACATTGCCAACGTCGATACCGATATGATCATCCCTAAACAATTTCTCAAGACGCTAAAGCGTACTGGTTTAGGGGACGCCCTATTCCATACTTTAAGGAAGGATCCAAAGACTGGTGAGGCAACGGAGTTTGTTCTCAATCGATCACCGTATGACAAGGCGGTCATTCTCGTGTGCACTGGGCCAAACTTTGGGTGCGGCAGCAGCCGTGAACACGCGCCGTGGAGTTTGTAAGCGATTTACGTCACACCTTTCTGAGTTGCGGATGACTGAAGATCATGCACTTATCAGGAATGACTTTGGTATCCGAGCCGTGATCGCCCCATCCTTTGCTGAAATCTTCAAGAGCAACATGATGCAGAATGGCATGCTTCCGGTCACCCTCCCACCTGAAGAGTGTAAGAAAATAGCCGATCATGCCCGTTCCGGAAAGCATCTCGAGGTCGATCTCGAGAAATGCGAAGTTCGACGCGATGGTGAGGAACCCGCTATCCCGTTCCAAGTGGATTCCTTCAAGCGTCACTGTTTACTGAACGGTCTGGACGGTATTGGTTTAACGTTGCAAAAGCAAGAGTTCATCAAGAAATTCGAGGAGAAACGGAGCGAGGTGTGGCCCTGGCTCGACGGCTTTGGGTATGCCAAAGGTGGTGGACGAGTCCCCGAAGTCCCGGTATCGAAAACAGGGAAGAAATTCGACTGGTGACAATTGACGGTTCTTTTGTTGTTCAATCGGTTGGAAGCCTCTGCGGTAGAAATGTATATCTAAGGACGATCATTACGACGACGTTGTATGCTGTTAGATCTAGGGGATTGATTGAGCAAGAACTGTTACCCATCACCCCGTCTCCAAGGTCGCAGAATTAAAGTCCAGGATATGAAAGATATTCCAGACAAGTGGTTTCCTTGCGAACGTAGTCGGGAGCATCTCAAGGCGAACTACTTTTGCTCAAGAACTGCCCATTCCTTAGTACGGTGGCTGGATTCCTCAGACGCGGTTCACTAGGAGCTTCAGTCGCAGGCTCTAATTTATATTTATTAAGCTGTCCCAAGTGTTTGACTCCGCGCGCAATCCTCACGTATTTGCGACTTCTGCCTGCTACAAGTATTGCACCAATATATGCACTACAGTACGTGCTCTGCATCGCTGTCACCTGCACAGCATTCGATCCAAGCATTGTTACACGAACCAATCCACGCTATTTACATTGAACGTTACGGTACGGGAGATGAAGGTGTGTGCGTTCCGGCTGGTAGGGTGTTACGTTGTACACAGAGAGGGTACATGGCGTACAAAAGTCCTTTGGATGCATGAAGATCAGTCAATCATGTATTAGACCAGAGGGGAGGATAGTGCTTACAGAGGGCACGTTTGAATGGAAATGCGGAAAGGTTTGCCAAGTCATCACGAGGTTTGGGACCATCTCCGAGATAACCAACACGAATGCTACTCTATCGAGGTGGGCTCACAGAAGTGGTTGAATTAGCCTTTAGATGCAAGGTGATTACAACCACGAACCTGGACACAGACATGGACATCGCAAATGGAGTTCGAGGTGAAATAGTAGGGATATGGGCGGATCGCTGAGAAGAAACACCAACATCCAGTGGTGTCCAAGACATGAAGTTCCCTCCCAGTTACACTGTCGTCGAGTTGGAGAGGTATCGTGGACCTCAAATAGAAGAACTGGGCGAATCGACGATAATTCAACGAACGATGGAAATCATTATATACTGTGCAAAATGGAGATACGAAAGTTATCCAAAAAAGACAGATGACGACGGATGTTGCTTACGCTTTTGCAGATTACCATGCACAAGGGCAAATCATAGAATATCTATGGGTAGACATTGGAACACCACTGAGAGGAACCCATACACCTTTCAACGCGTATGTAACATTATGAAGAATGCAATGATATGCGAACATACGGGATTTCAAAGACACATTGTCCACGAAGACACCGTTCGAAGCTCTTGAAAGATGAACGATCAAAGTCACTAGGTGAAACCCAGAATGAAATTGAACAACGTCAGCTCAAGCAGGACGTATACATGCCTGATCTTGCGACAAGACTAGCGAAGAGCCTCGACACGACTCGATACTAAGTACACAAGCAGTGTGTTTTGTTATACCCGATGAACTCTTCAGGTAGTCAGGGACATTGCAGCTAGCTGGGGTGACAGAAACAAAAGAACAACTGAGAAACCAAGGTGGGCGTGTGAAGACAGCAAGTAGGGGAAGACGGGCAAGACAAAATTCTGCGAGAGCAGGGATCCACTTGATCAGCACAACTGAACGGACGCGGCGTTACAGCATGCAGTGAGGCAGTGAGGCTGACAGCGGGTACGGCGCAACGGGTACGGTGCAGCGGACGCGTAAGAGTCCCAAGCGTACAGCGAACGCAAAAGGAGAAAAAGGTAGCTAGAGCATTGGTGCCGGGGCACCATGGCACACAAACCTAATTTAATCTCGTACCTCCATCAAATCACAATTTGCGGGTTGCTGTATTACATTACATCTTCAGCGTATGAAAGATATACAGGGTGTCCCCTAGCAGAATTTCTTTGGGACCTAACGTTCGTTCTCGCCCCGAATAAGCCAAAATCAACTATCTTGAATGATCCAACTGCCTTGGCAAACGTGGATTTCGTCTCTTCTACGTTTACCTCGGCTCCCACGATTGTAGTTTCAGGGGAGTCAGTCTTCACGGGGATATTGCAGCTCAGCACTAGATCGATGTTATATTTGTCTAGACGCCAGAGAGCCAAAAGGATCAGGACATCATCTGCTGTTGTTCGGTTGAATTTTTTGATGCGCTGGGTCCCACTGAGGAGGATCGGAGCTGGACGCTCCTGAGTTGAGGGTTCGCTCGAAGGTATTATTTGTTCTATGGATTTATTATTTTGTGCATCATTGTCATGCGCTAGCGAATCGAAGTGGAACCTTGTGAAGTCAGCTGAACGATTAAAGAAGAGCTTATGGGAACGTACTTCGCCGCCTCTAAAAGATTATCTTCTTCAACTTTCTCGAGGATTTCGACTATGAACGTCACATCGTCCACGGGTGAGAGAAAAACCTCCTGGTTATCTGGTATTTGGCGCAAATCCCTAGGGTGGCGCACATTCAGACGGTGAATGCAAATCCAACACTAGCATGAACAGGCATCTACTGACGACGCATCAATAAAAGCTTCAGGGAGCTCAGTAGTGATGGCCCCGCCAAATAATTGACGAACTGCTAGAGACATAGGCGCCATGAGATCTACGACGTGGTAGATCTCGATAACAAAGCTTCGACCGAGGTTTTATTTGGACCGAGGAACGCGCAATGGAATTTCGTTCGAACATGAAGTGGGTGACTTTGCTGATTCGCTGGCAAAGCAAGGCACATTAATCCCTTCCGAAAGGGCAAGCGTTCATACATAAGTGCCGCTCAAAAATAAATGCATCAGATACTGGTACACACGCCCGAAGCAAGTTAAACCATCGGAGTACTAGGCGTGGAATTGCATTAAACGGTGTTCCTCTAATAAGTGCCTGTTGGGGTTAGCAGTCCAAGACAATAGTCCACTGGCCAACGGCATCCAGTTACCGATCCGGCGGGACCAAGGCACGTAAGCCAAAATTGTAAGTTGCTTGTTTCACGCTTTGTCTTATTAACTCATGTTTTGTAATGCCTGCGCTCGGTTTCAGACCTCACGCTTTGTTCTTCATGTTTTCCACATGATAATCATCATGTATATAAGCCAGGCCTGCTCGCGAAGGGGCACGATATCTATCGTATCGCGCGATCGATATCGTGCTCAGTGATCGCGACTGCTAGCTGCGTATTACAGTCCTTACGTTTTAGTTACCTTGCACAACTTCGCATCGGTCATGCCTTCCTAGGCCAATAATTATTATTGTGAGACAAGGCCAAGGGGCCTTCGGCTATGTCTTGATACCACCTCTCCCTGCATGTCCTCCCCATCTTGCATAAATCGATTTGCACTGCTAAGTCTTCTGACGTTGCACTCTCGTGTGCTGCGGCAAGATTGGACTAAGTGGGTCTTCCGGACTAACTCTTTGTGGATCAGAGAGAAAACGCTGTCACACACCGGAGGCTCTTGAAAGAGATGGCCATGGAGTTATCTGGCCTCTTTCAGTACGGGACTGTAATACTGTTCAGAAGAATACTTGCGCGAGGTGATGGGGCATACAGGAGGACCAAAGGATCTAGTTACTACTGTGAAGAATCGATCACCGATCACGGAGACGACTCCAGTGATGTCGAAGTCCACATTCACGGTGGTATCAATTGTCGAAGTCGAGCTTCCATCGCGCTAACATGGTTGGCGAGGGAACGTTCCAAGGCATTCGGATCCAAGGCGAGAGATGCTGTTTGGCCATCAAAGTTCTTTTCAATTTGCCGGACGTGTCCTCAAGTGAAGTGGGAGATGACAGTGGAAAGCAGTCTTTCAAGCCCACGGAAAAAACCGAGGAGGCGTTCACTGGCCTAAAGGTTTTTGGGAATTAAGTGGCGTGTGCGGCACTCCACGCGCGATTGGAACGCCGGATAAAATCAAGACGAATAACAAGGTAATCTATCCAATCGATCCGAACTTAAAAGTCTGATATAGCTTTCTGGAAGCACTCTTTTTCCAGAACGAGCGTTCGTGCAGAGAGTGACATTACGAAACCTGGAGGTGATACCCAGGGCTTCTCACCGAACCGTGAGAGAGTTTTAAAAATGGCGCTATGTCAAGAGGCGTGCCATTAGAAAAACCAGGTATACGACGATGAGATACACACCATTCGCAGTCAGTACGCGTTTAATCTGATCAGCGATCGGGCTCAATGGTTGTTCGGCTTTAAGAAGACTACTCAGGCAAGCATGCAACAGGACGAAAATGATAGTCCTTCAAATGTTGTGGCCCATTCATGAAAGAGGGAATCGAAAACCGAGAAAGAGGTGTGGTTGAGGCACGACGGCGTCGACGCTTTCCGCGCGCATTACGTTGATCTCACTTTCCTCACTTATCTTGGATGCATCGCGTAGAGCCTGAAGCGATGCCAAGCCCAGTCTAGACATCAGAAAGTCTGCGGAGAATATATATACGCACCATCACCTCATTCGTAGTCGTAGATCAATGTAGGGAGGAAAGCAGTGTTGAACTTGAGAGTCGAGCACTTCCCCCAACTGAGTCCATTTATGTCGAGTAGATCAGGCTGGCAGTTATTCCATTCGAGCGGATTACATAATGATCCAGCACAACAGTGTAGGAATCCTTCAGCGCAACACGTTTCGTAGTAGTTAATAGGTGTCCAGAACAATGCCATAATTCCGTCAGAAGGAGAGCTCCAGTTTCATCAAAGGAAATTGGTGTTCAAACAAGGTACAGTTATGAAAACGGAAGGGTGTAGAAGACACAACGCCCAAATCGTTTCGAGTGTTCATAATTCTTGATGTTGTTCATGAAGCGTAGCTGCAGGGCGTTGAGCGCTGTCCGCCGGATCAGCAGTCTTGGCAACTGGCTTCGTCAGGTCATTCTTCGCCTTAGACTCGATGAACTCGATGAGAGATTCGAGTGAACGATCGCCATCGTAGTCAAAGAACTCGCGAGACCCTGCGGGCTTGAATTTGAGGGTAGGTAGCCAGCTATGTGGAAAGGAGTTCCTGGAGGAAGATCATTCTCAGTGGCATCCATCTTGGCGCTGTGGAGGGAAAGACGAATGTCGTATCAATCTCCAGAACAACAGTAATGGATAGTGAACGTACATGGTAATTTGATTGGCGCGGTCCGCGTAGGTTTCAGCAAGGGTCTCCCAGGTGGGCAGTAGGCGCTTGCAGTGTCCGCACCTGAAATTGGAAATCCATTGAGTGCATAGGCCGATCGAACGGAAGTAACATTTGCTCACCATGGTGCAGAGAACTGGACGAAAAACGTCCTTATCATCATCGTAAACAACCTTCTCAAAGGTTTCCCCGACGACTTTATAGTACTTCTCAGTTTGCTCCTCGGGAACAGGCTCGGTCTTCAACTTGGGCTGTAACTTGTCAGCAACAAAATTCTTGACAAATTCATCGACGGTCTTGAAATTGACCTCAGTGGATTGATCCAATGGGTACTTGAGCTGACTTTTGATGTCTTGGATCACGAAGCTTGGCCACTTAGCCTCTGTGAGAACAAGAGACTTTGCGTGTTCAACGAATTTGATCGCATCGATCCAGACGAAGTTAACGACGCCCTTTCGTTCTTTGGCAATGGGGCTGAGTTCCTTATCAGCTCTTCCCGCTTAGGGTCGGTTGGTTCAATGAAGATATAAGCAAGTGGGAGGCCAGATGTTGCATAAAGGTTGTAATTTTCTCCAGATATCTCGTCAATGAGAGGAATAGCATTGGATCTGATCCAGTCGGCTAGAGAAGCGACGTCGGCGAAGCGATTTTCTCGGAAGGGAAGTCGTTGCGACCCTCATCGAACTTTTTGTAAAGAACGATAGCAGGTGGGGTGACGCCAGCCGCTTTGATGGCCGCCTCATCGGTTGTTAAACCGAACAGGTAATCGTCACGGTAGGTCTCAGCAACGGAAGAGAAGGCAGGAATGGGGGCTTCTTCGGTAGAAGTAGCATACGCAAGCACAACGACCTTATCAGCGACCTTGAATTCTTCGAGATTCTCAGAGGCAACAGTCGAGATGGCCGGGAGAGATTGTCTGGAGTCCCTCATCAACAAACGAAAAACATAGGCGGGTAGGCGCCAAGACACTCACTTGGTCATGTAACTGATGATGCCATCAGCTTGGCGAGGCCCTCCATATTCTGTCGGTTTCCCCTTTCTGTAGATCTTCAGCGTTGGGTAACCTTGTATATCATTTTCTGAGCAAAGGTCCGCCTGATCAACGCAATCGACCTTCGCCAACGTGATGTTCTTCTCCTTTAAAGCCGTTGCAGCTTCCTCATAGTGAGGAGCGAGCGCTTTACAATGGCCACACCTAATTGATCAAAGCGTTCAACCATGACCAAGATGAGGATGAGCAACCAAAACGTACCACGGCGCAAAGAACTCGACCAGTAAAAGGCCAGCCTTCTGCGTCTCAGCGCCAAAGTTGGCTGAAGTAAGGTCTATGACATCGCTGGGACCTTCACCCGCCGCTGCCCGCCTAAGTTCGGATCATGGAGACAATATTATTAATCAGCATGTGAACCCAGAAAGCAAGAGGAAGGGTTGGTTGAGAGGAACATTTACTGCATACCATGGAATGACAGCCCCAGCGATGAGTAGCGATGATTTTAAAAGGGAAGAGATGCGCATTTTTGAAGGAATGGAGGGAATGGAGGAACGGCTTTGCTTTACTTATGTACTGTTGAAGTTCGACGTGTTCAATATGCAAATGTACAGCCACATGCCACGCATCAATATGATTGATCAACAGAAAAGCACGCTTGGGCGGAAATTGGACAGCCCCACGCACAGCCCCTGCGAAACGTCGATTTCCCCGGGTGGCCCAGGACCATGGTCACGGAGTCCCACACAAACCCTCAGGTGAAGTCCCTTCACCCTGCGAAACCTACGAAAGGTTCCGCCAAAAAAATGGCAATATTGGCTGTCCCATGATCATTCATGGCAGCGCATCGCTCTATAGAGGCTGGTCACCTGCCTAGCGCATTGCCCAGTCATGAAATTCGAAATAAATTGAGCATTTCCCCAGCTAATCCATTGAAATACGTAAACCATTAGGTAAGGTGCAATCTATAATACAGAGAGATCGAAATGGGAACCCTTGTTGCCTCCACTCGTGTATACCCTAGCACCTTTAACAAATGGGCGAGGGGGAGGGAACATGTCTGACGTAGGAAACGTAAGATTGCCTGAAACAGCTGCAGGCTCAGGAACTAGATTTGGACGAGCAATTAGCTTTAGAGTAATGGTGTTTACTGCAAACTCACTCTTGGACAGTTTTATGCCATTCTCCTTTGCTCCCTGTCCACTTCCTGCAGACACCGAGGATACTAGTCGACGAACAGGATGAGAGGACGACGAAATACTTTGTTGGGGTCGAAGACACTCTGTTTCGAGGCGGTCCTCCAGGAGGGGGAGGGGGAGGTGGTGGTGGAGCAAAACCGCGTCGATCAGGGATAGAGGGGGCATTAGATGACGCTGCCGGAGGCGAAGGAGTTGGTCGAGGCGGTGGAGCTCGCGTGGGCCCAGATTCAGTGCTCGGTACCACTTGCGCACGCCCCGGTGGCAGAGGTAGGGTGGCAAGTTGTGAAGATGCAGGTCGCGGCGGCGGGGGCGGGGCTAATCGAGCTGATGGTGTTCTAGGTGTTGAAGGAGCACTGGATGGAGAAGATGGCCGGACTATTGACCCAGACCGGGGAGGTGGTGGTGGAGCATTCCTATTGGTGGTTGGCCCTCGCGGAGGCAGTTCGGGAGGTAAACGACGAGCAGGAAGGCTGGGAGCAGAAAGGGCAGATGGCGCTAGATAGTCATACATGAGCCCAGTTGCCAGCAAATGAGGGAACGTAGCTTACATGGCTTCGAAGAGGAATCAACACTAGAAGATAAAGATGGCACCGGTGGTATGGGGGGCGCTGTAGAAATAACCTATGTCAACTTCATGACCCGTGATTAAAAGGAAAGAGACATACGAGGGCGCACGGTTGAACTGGCAGAGAGATTCACTGGGGGTGGGGCACGGCCAGGTAACGGAGGTGGTGCCCTGGAGAGGGCGGGGGCTGACACTGGTGATTCTGGGGCCGTCAAAGTAGGCGGTGCCGGAGGAGGCGCACGAGGAATCACAGGAGGTTTCGGTGCCACTCTGGCCGGAGGCGCAGGGGATGTTGACAGAGGAGGTGGAGGCGCCTGGGGGGAGCGCAGGGACTACAAAAGTGTGAACTAGTGCACTCGCCCAATCGCCGAATAATGTACTTGCCTGAGGAAGATGGCGGGGGCGGCGCCGTGGGTTGACGAGGTGCATTGGCAGGAACAGGAGGCGGCGGAGGCGGCGGAGGTGGTGCAGGGGTTACGGAGGGTGCACCTGGAGTCTTCTTCGGTATTGAAGGTGGTTTCGCTAAATTCGTAAGCTTAGCTGATAAAACCGACATGTTTTGAGCATTAATGGCAGCCATTGATAATCGAGGCACACTCACAAGGGGGCCCTGATCCGACAGGTTTGAGTTTGGGTATGCCACCTGACAGAAGACCACCCAGCTGAGGCGGGCCAGCACCACCAACGGGAGGTGCGACACCACCGCCCGAAGTCCTCGCACCTCCACCACTGTCACCACCACTGCCGCCTCCGCTAGGGCTGGCGGAAGTTTTGACACCCGATAGCTGGGGGGCAGATCTATCATTTGTGGTTGCCTTTTTCAGAGCCTTCCTGATTGAATTTGCTTCAACAGCTCAGAGCTCGCCATTTGTAACCTTGTGAACGATCGATCAAGGCCAGACCCAGGTAAATACTAGAGACACAGACCTTGAGGTGTACGCGCACGCCTCTTCACTATCTCGATACTTATATACCGATTACTGAGCGCCGCAGTCACAGCACAATCACAGGTTGCGGAAATCGGAAAGAAAGTAACCACGTGCTAGCAGGACGCCCAGACTTGAACATGGCAGTGCTACTACTGCGTCAAAGCTACCGGTGACATGACAATGGAGCGCAAGACCCAAAGGACACGAGCCTACGAATGACAGTTCAACCCCGCTGCCTCCCCGGGAAACAGGGCAGGGAATTTACGGGTTGCTTACTTATTTATTTTAACGAAGATATGGGTTTATGGAGGGAGACCTCGCAAGACACCAAAGCCAATCCCGAGACCGAAGCCAAGACTCGATCTGTATACAAACGGGACATGGGGACGACGCCAACGCTCGACTCGTCAACAAACAACGTATACATGAAGCGTCGGCGATAGGGTCCGACCCTGAGCACAATCACCCATCATGCGTGGGGAGGGTTTCTCCCTTCTCTTTTCCCGAAGCTCTCATCTTGAGCAAATCTCGAGGCTGGGGTTTGTTGTTCTGCCTCCCTCCAGTAATATTGGCTTCTCGTGCATTCTCCCTAGTATGGCGTTCCCGCTTAGGCAGTCACAGACGCGGTTTTCATCACGCTGTTATTTACGACGGTAAACCAGTTGAGGCAGAAATAGATCTGGAAATCGAGCTTGTACTTTTTTACTCTCCTCACCCTTGTTTTTGCATATTTACGCCGAAGACCCTACGCCTTGCCAATGCCCAACAACACATTTTTCATCATGTCGAAACAATCCATTGTGACGCAGTATGTGCTTCGCGCACTATCTGCTCATCGAGCCTCGTTAAGTCAATTGGGCCGAGCTTCCGCCTCTGTTTATTGGTATGCAGGGGCCCCAAGGGATAGGAAAGACGACAATCACAAATGAACTTCGTGAATCTTTGTCTTGTCCGCCGAACTCACTGAGGGTCTCAGTGCTTTCAATGGATGATTTCTACCTGCCGTATGACGGACTCAAATCGACTGCCGAGAAATATCCAAACAATTGGCTCCTCAGTGGCCGCGGCCACCCCGGAACACACGATCTTGATCTGCTTCACCTCACTTTGACGAGCCTCTCGGTCATTAATGGGGAGGCTACTGCTCCCGTTGAGACGCCAGTATTTGATAAAAGCTTATTTGATGGTTATGGGGATCGTTCCTCATCCAAATTAACTGTAGCTGCTCCTCTCGACGTTGTGCTCTTAGAGGGGTGGTGCATGGGCTTCCATCATCTTTCCCACGAA